AATGTCTCTCTGGAACTTGATTCTGGCTCTGAGGTCATCAAGCTTGTTCTCGATGGATTGAACATTGGCTAGCAGGATACTGGGCATGGGTGCGCGGTGTGCGCGAGCCCGTAGCCTGTTCCTGATGCCGGCTCTTTTACCTCGAGGCCGTCGCTTAGGGCCGCGTCCTTTGTTCTCTCTCAGGATCTCCTTTGGCCAGTTTGGGTCCGGAGTTAAACATGGTGAAATGTTCGCGTATTGCAGACCAATAGAAACCAGAATGTCTCTACTGTAGCGGATTTGTGTGTTTTGCATGATGCCCATGCAAGATTATCGCAGATATAGCAAAAAGTGACGAAAAACTGCAAAAAGTGGAGAAGTTAGGGCAGAGCATCCAGCACGGCAGCCGACCTCACCGGCGCCATTTTACAAGTAGACCATTATAGCAAATGGTCCACTTGGGAAAGTAAATCTGTTGGGCATTTTTTGACCTTCAGACAACAATTCTGACACATTTCCGGACAGGAGAGGGGAAAAAACCCAGCAGCTGTGCAGGCGAGGAACCAGACCACGTGAGGTTTGCCAACACTTCTGTTCGACGTGATGCCTAGTCCACCAGTTTCTCCAGCTCCCTGCACCTGCTCCACCATCTGTGCCTCCATCATGCCAAGACCAAACGCTCAGCAGTTAGAGAGCAGTTAGAGAGCATTTTGACATGATATCTCCCAGTAATAACTTACATCTTCTCAAATCAACCTCAGAGAGGAGGGTTAGGCTCTTGTCTTTACCAGGTTTAGGTAACAGAGTCATGATACCTTGTTTCATGGTTGACATCAAATTAATGTTTTCTATACTTTCATTTAGGGCATTAAATAGTAGTTTTTTAATGTCCTGAATTTATTTTTATTTTTTTAATTTGAGGTTAAACAAATTAAACTCATAGAATCACTGAGATCTGTTGACTGTTAATGAACCATGTATAATGCAAAAGTGCACCTTCGTCTTCATCTTTGTTGCTTCCTGCATCTGAGACCACAGAGCTTCTCTGGCTTGTTTATCTGCCATGGTAAGATCTTCCAAAGACCAAAGTCAGGATTCCTAATACTTCCAAATCTTCACCCCTGTATTGTTGACAAACTGGATGGTGATCTGACAGGTTTCTTTTCTCCTCTTTCTTCCCAACTCGGTGTCCACTACCATCTTGAAGCAGTATGTGCTACAGTCGGTCTGTGGGCCGCTCTTGTTCCTAATGTTGTTGGTCCGTGAGCCAGCCATCATGAAGAGAGCGAAGTTATACCATACTAAGAGCTGAAGTGAAACAAAATATTAAAAACAATGAAACGTGTGAACTGCAGCTAAGCTGCTGACAGTGATTTTGACTGATTTTAAGCTGTGTGCCTTTTTAAAAATAGTTGCGATAAAACCAATAGCAGAAATCATTAAAACTGGAGCAGCCAGGCAGCCCCTGCCTGGCTGCTCCAGTTTTGTGTGTTTGTGTTTGCAGGGGTTGTGTTTGCAGTTACGTCCGCTGGGTGGGAGTTCAACACAGCAACTCCACCTCAAGTCACTAGTGGACAGACTCTGGCTCCAAAAGTGTAACACGGTTGTCCCCATAAACTGCCTGTGCTTTAGGGGCAGAAGCTTATCTTTGTATCAGCATTAGCTAAATTCTCCCAGCAGCTGAGAACTGTTCACATTCCAGCTTAAGCCATGAGACCGGGATCGCTTTGTGATACTTTATAATAACATAAAAAGAGACAAATAAATGATAATGTGTCAAAGACTTGGTGTCACAGTATTGTTTTCTGCGATAACCTAAAAATCATGAAATTGGGAAATATCAATTGGTACGCACTGGTTTTAGAAATAATCACCCCTTTTCTCCCCACTGACCCACACACACTGTTGTGCATTGCAGCTTTGTTGTACCACAGCTTGCTCAGCGATGGAATAGAATCTTTGGGTAAGGATTAAGATCTGCAAAAAAAGAGACAAAAAGATTTGAAAAAAGATACAACGCCGTGTCATTGAGGGTCATTTTTACTTTCTGGGAGTTGAGGTTCTGGGAACTGTCTGGTTTTGGTGCTACGATCCTGCAGACAGGTTTTAGCAGCTGTGTTTTGGCTAGTTTATGATGTTACTGGATGTGGTCCTCTCACTGCATGATCTGATTGGTATGACTGGATATTTAAGATGGCAGCATTTGAAAGATTTGACAAGTTCTTCTGAAAAACCCTGCAAGAGAATGACTGCAAATGTCGTTAAATAACAGACAACTTTTGAACTGTTGCTTCTGGTGAATAGGACAGTTCTGAGCTCAGGGCATGGCACTTCTTAACTAAGCTCGGTGGCTCACTTTGTTACCTGCTGTTAAATACTGTAGTCACATTTTCAGTATGATTTCTGCTGTGTTTGGGCCCTTAGTTTTCACATTTGAAAATAACCCTTGTCTATTTCATCAGTCAGCAGCCAGTCCGATGGAGATAAGAAGAAGAGGCAACAGAAAGTAAAGGGAACGAGCATCAGCCCTCATACCAAATTAGCTACACTCAAGGTAATTTTTTTCAGAGATGATACAATTCTTGTACAGGTTTACTGGGCCCTGTTATGCTTTTACTGTCCAACCAAAGAATAAAAGGGGTACCATATGCTAGAAAGAAAAGCTTGAGTGAGTCTGATCTTGGCTCTGCAGCTGTACAACAAGGAGTTGGAGTCAGAGTTTGGGTCCTTTGATGACTGGGTGAAAACATACGAGTTGTTCCGAGGGAAAGCCAGTGAGGAAGAGGGATCAAATGAGGAGAGGTTTGTTGGAAAATTTAAGGTGAGATACTAAGTAATGTTCTTTGCGGGTACTACTTTGGTACTGCTCAACAACTAGCATATCTACACATAAATCTTCATGCTGTCTCTTAGGGTCGATTCTGCCTCTATAAGCTCGCTGAGGAGGAGGAGGAGGACTGGCATGAAGCAATAGACGCTGGGAGCTTCAGAGTCAACAGAGGAATCCCTCCCAACAGCTCAGTCCAAGTTCTCATACGGGTTTACATTGTCTGTGTGAGTCCTGCTCACATGGGAATTTTCTGCTGAGTTCTCTTTGGAATGTTTTACTTGAAAGTTGTAGAATAGTTTTCCATTGTACTGAGAAACAAAAAGAGCAGCGTTTAGTGAGGCTGACGTGATACAGCAGTTAGTACATCGCCTAACACCAACGTTAGAGGTTTAAACTGGTCTAGCTCCTTCCTGTGTGGACCTGATTGAAAGCACTTCCTGGATGTGTAGTTACACGTCTGCCTTCGCTCTCAAAGTGCTTCTGCAGACTTAACTATGTCAAAAGTCGCATGCAAGAAAAAACATAATGACAAGCAAATTATTATTAGTATTGGTCAAGTTACTTAAAAATAATAATTAAAAAAAGAATAATAATTACTTACTAATTACTTCTCCAAAAGGTATTCCCATTACTTTACTGATAACTCATTTTCAAAAGTAATTAGTTACTTAGTTACTTTTAAAAAACATGATACACAACCCGAATACGTAATAAAGCAACAGACCTTTCAGCCCAATTCTATTTTTCTGCATAATCCATCGTTTACAATGTAATCCAATGAAAAAGTCTCCTTTTAAAAATTGTTTCATGAGTTTTAATCTTTTACCTTTATGCACATTGCATCAAGCAAAAATGTAATTATATGCAACAGTCTTTGACTTGAAGAAATTCTCTAACATTTAAACCTATTTTCTGCATATTCCAAAAAATAATTTTTTGTGTTCACACTCTTTCAAATAGATGCAAGTAAAACACAGCAAAAATAAACCAAATCAAACATTCAGCAGCTCTTAAATCTATTGTCTATTGGGGTGGGTGGAGGCTTGCCAACAGCGGTCATGTCAGTGGGGGGGTCCGGGGGTTTCTCTGTGAATGTCACATTCCCGTGGCAGCGTGCTCGCTGCTCGCTCAGATTTGAAGTTTAATTTTTCTCTGTAGAAGGAAGTTTTCTTCCCACACAGAGTGAACATTACCTGAGAAAAGTAATCAGACTGCCCATCTCTGATTGCCACACAATTAAATTTAACTTCCTGGAGAACTCAGCAGCCTGAGTTTTCAAGGAAGCCATCACACATGTGAGAGCCTGCTGTGCGAGTGATGCCAGAGATTCAGGCTCTCACATCAGCTCTGTTCTCAAACCTTCATTTTTCAAACAAATGCAGTTTAAAACAGCGCCTATGTTACTCCTGCAGCCTCCATTTAACACTGAACCCGTCCATCACAGAGCCTGTGGTGTCACTGTTTTGAAAGTGACCAATCACATTAGGACCTCTATTCCTTTAGGCTCATTGACTAGCTGCACCACTCTGTGATGGAAACTGGTATTACACAAAAGTACCTTCGTTAAAACTGTCACCACATTTGTTAAACCCATCTGGTCTCATATTCAGAGGCCAAATAACATTCAGCACCAAGCTCATTAAAAGCTGTAGCAAAGCACTTAATTACATTTCAAACTGAGCTTTTCGTAAGCAACCAGTACTTTAATATAGGCTGTCCTTACAGCCCAAACAAGCACTGCAACACTTGACAACCACAAAAGCCCGACTGTGAACACCACAGCGAGGGCGGGAGGATGTCTCGCACAGTCTTCCTCAAGATTTACACTCAGACAAAAGGTCAATCCCTGATTCCCAGTCCCTTGTTACCTAAAGGAGGACTGTACTCTCCCCTTCCTGTGCATGAACATCTCTTACACTTGCCTGTTGATTATGCTTTGGTGACCTCTAAAAGGAGCAGCTGAAATAATAACAATAAGCAGTAGACATCTTGAACTATAGCATATTTTATAATGGAAGGTTTTAAAAAAAAGTAAACAGAATAATTTACAAATAGTGCCGTTAAAAGTACTAGTTTTAGTCCTTGTTTGTGAGTTCTTTTATGATACCCCTTCTCTTTCCAGGCCTCTAACCTGCACCCAGCTGACCCGGATGGGAAGGCGGACCCTTACATTGTTCTACGACTTGGCAAAAATGAAATCAAAGACAGAGACAACTACATTCCCAAACAGCTAAACCCTGTTTTTGGAAGGTAAATAACTGGTAAAGCTTCTCAGGAATTGTCTCACATTTTAAATATGACTTCTTCTATTCTCCTTCTTCCAGATCTTTTGAGATGCAGGCAACACTTCCTCAGGAGTCTCTGCTGTCAGTGTTCATCTATGACCACGACCTGGTGGGAGGGGACGATCTGATTGGAGAGACCCGCATTGACCTTGAGAACCGATATTACAGCAAACACAGAGGCACCTGTGGACTCCCTGCTGAGTATAGTCTGTAAGCCTGGACGTTTGAACTCTTTCAGATCAAAGTCCGAGTTATTTATTCCATTTGGTCACTTCAATAAATTACTATCCTACCTCATAGTTACATTACTTTTTTTCTATTACATTAAAAACTACCAAATTCAACTAAAGGAGTAGAAATTCCAGGCATTTATATCCATCTACAACTCTGCATTCTATGAATCCCTCGCACTGAAGCGTTTCCTGTTCCTTCCTTGTTGTCTGTCAGTGAGGGTTACAATGCCTGGAGAGACTGTTTGAAGCCATCAGAGCTGTTGGCAAAGATGTGCAGAGAGAGCGGTTTGGACGGTCCTCACTTCAGTCCAGGACGCATCATTGTGTCAGAGAAGGTTTTCACTGGCAAAACTCTCTTCATGCATGAAGGTAGATATAGGGCATTCTAGATCAGCTGCATGATTATTTTTTTAACTTAACATTTAGAAACAGTATTCAGACAATTACTGCATGAGTCCACGTGATACCTTTTAATCAGGTGCAATTCCATCTTTGTAGTCTAAAGCACTTGTCTGTCAGTATGAGTAGGAAAAGCGCTATATAAAATGTAAGTACAACACAATGTGAGTACAGTTGCATAAGTAATAAATATCCCCATCAGTAGCTGGAGATGTCATTTCAGTTTTAGAGAGAACACCAACAATCACTCGATCCCTATGATCCAACACTGTGGGGAAAGATAGTATAGATCAAGAAAATATGCTGGAGCTAGAACATGTATATAGGAGTCTGATTTGACATTGTCGTGTGTATCCCTCAGACGAGCCAGTGGAGTCCTATGAACACTTGTCACTGAAGATCCTACACCGCTGGGCTGAGATCCCAGGTGTAGGATGCACACTGGTACCAGAGCACATTGAGACCAGAACTCTGTTTAATAAGGCCCGGCCTGGAATGGACCAGGTATGTTTGAGTTTAGTATTCTGGTAAAAAATAATCGTTATTCATGCATTTACAACCTTTAAGCTTTCTGGGTTTTCTGGGTCAACTGCCTACATCTGTGTGCATGTACATGTAGGGTCAGGTCCAGATGTGGGTAGACATGTTTCCAATGGACCTGCCACATCCAGGACCTCCAGTGGACATTTCACCTCGAAAACCAAAAGGGTGAGACTTACCAAAACGTAATAAAACAATGTCTGTCAACGTTGTTTTGGGATGCGGTCATTCAAACTCAGATGTGTTTGTGCAGATACGAGCTGCGTATTATCATCTGGAACACAGAGGACGTCATTTTGGAGGACAGCCACTTCCTCACTGGTCAACAGTTCAGTGATATTTACATCAAGGGGTAAAATAATCTATTTGTTCCTGGTATTTTTTGGCAATATAAATATTTTTTTTAGCTTTGGAAATAATAATTCCAAAACTAAAGTGACGTTTGCTGTCTGTTGTGTAAGCTTGGCTGATTCCTTATTGAACAGCACATTGAATGTACTGAATATATCTCTGTTAGCGAGTTAACGTGGATCGTGTGAGGGCTGCACGGTGTCAACACGTTAGCGCCTTGCAGCCCAAAAAGCTAAACTAGCTAGCTAAACCTTTATATAAAAAGCACTGCTAGAAAATCTCTCACCTTACCAAATCTACCGTTGTAGCTGGCTGAAAGGTTTAGAAGATGACCGACAAGAAACTGATGTGCATTACAACTCTCTGACTGGAGAAGGAAACTTCAACTGGCGCTTCGTGTTCCCCTTCAGCTACCTGCCTGCTGAAAAGGTACTCATATTTGTGTGATCTTTGGTCCTAGGAGCTCCGGCTCCAAGCATGATGTAGATAAAATAGCTGCTACAGAATCACATCGTTACCAACTTTACCTCTGACAGGTAGTGGTGGTGAGGAAGAGAGAGAGTATTTTCTCTCTAGATAAAACAGAGCAGAAGATTCCTGCTATCCTCATTCTGCAGGTCTGGGACTTTGAGACACTCTCCTCTGATGACTTTCTAGGTGGGTATGCATAAGTGCCTATTCACACGGAGAGGCAATTATACACACACATTTCACTGATGAACATAAAATACTAAGGTGATACAGTGGTTAGCACTGTTGCGTCACAAAAAAGGTCCAGAGTTTGACTTCACTATGCTAAACGGACTGGTTATTGGACAGATAGGAGAGAAGAAGACAAGAAAGAGCCTGCAGTAAGGTTCAAGGCCGCGAAAAGGCTGAAAGTTGCGAGTCTCCCTGTGGTCGTCACAAAGCACCTCCCACACAGTAGACTCAAAACAATCTTCTAGAGCCTCCTCGCTCTCCTCCGACTATCTCTGCACTGTGCGGGTGGCTGGTGGCTCCCTGTGCACCAGGTTGTGATCAGATCTTTCCAGGGGTGGCAGAAGTGATAAACTGTATGCCTCTTTTGCGTTGGCATACAGTAAGTCCAATGTTTTATTGTCTCTGGTGGGCCATGTCACATACTGGGTGAAGGTGGGCAGTGTTGAGTCCAGTGATGCAATATAGTCCCCAGATGTTCAAAAAGGGCTCTCAGAGATTGCGTTTGCAGTCTGCTGACCACAGAGCGGAGTAAGAGGCTGCATCCGCATTGGCTGAGGGGGGGCTACGCTGTTATCGTGATAACATGCGAGAATTCCTGGGGCAGGTAGTACAGACACATTTTAACGGCTAACAGCTCAATGTCTCTGCTGCAGAGCTGTTCTTTCACAGTGATGTGCCCCGATGCACCTTTAGTTCACAATCACTGAAGAATAGAAAGTGTTACTGCATGTAATGCTGCTATAATGGCATTAAATACAGGGACATATTGCCAATTTGAACGTATAAGGAGCATGCTTGAATCATTCCTGTGGAGGACAGGAAACAGCAGAAATTCAGGAAGACTACTCCTGCTAACTATTAACAATTACCCCCAAAACCTGAAGATGGTGCTAAATGTTTAAAGCACTGAAAGCAGAAGAAACATGAAGACATGACAAACCTTCTAAGACAATCTTTAATGGCAAAAAGTATTAGAAGTCGCACTGGAGAGTCAGGATGAATAATGGAGATAAAATGTGCATGACTTGAATGAAGGCAAAAACAACTTGACAAAAGAGATTCAGAGATTCTGGTGTTGGCTGCATAAAACACGGCAGTGCACCTGACTGACTGTGTGTCTGCAGGCACACTAGAATTAGACCTCCATGGATTTACTCGGGGAGCTAAAACAGCCAAGTTGTGTAAGGCGGACATGCTGACAGATGGGACTGAGAGAATCTCCATCTTTCAGCAGAAGAGAGCACGAGGCTGGTGGCCCTTCACCAAGTCAGGAGAGTTGACCGTAAGTACACAGTAACACACACATGCAGTGTATAAACAAATGTAAAAATAAAGTCAGGCAAATACAGATCATCAAACAATCGATCTTCCTCCAGGGGAAAGTGGAAGCAGAGTTCCATCTTGTGACAGCTGAGGAGTCGGAGAAAAATCCTGTTGGCCGTGCCCGCAAGGAGCCAGAGCCACTACCAAAACCAAAGTAACCATAACCACACAAGGCTCTGTTTATCTGTCAGAATACAATCTAATTTATGTACCAAAAATGCGTCAAAGGAATACAGGGACATTTCTGTAAATTTGAGGTACATTTACTCATTTTCAATAACAATATTTGGGTAGCCTGGGGGTCCTTACTGGATACAGAGTCAACCCCCCAACCTGGAGCTATATCTATGTGTGCTATATCAATGCACACATAGATATAGAGAGAATAAACGGCCTGTTCCCAAAGATCAATCCAGGTGTAATCTCATTTACAAGAGAACAATAACACACGAGCAGACGCTCCCAGACCAGAGACTGCACAACACTAGATCCACATTTTACTCATTTACTTTGTGGTGCAGTTGAGGATATCATATTACTTTCTCTTATGTATTCTATTCTTTTCTATTCTATACTTTTTGATGCTCGAGTCATTTATCTTTTTAGTAATTTTTGCTCGGGTTTGTTTGGTTTTTTTATTGTCTGGGAGCAGACACGATGTCTGTGAGGCTGTTATGGTGGGAGAGAAGCTGCAGAGAGGTTTCTGGTCCAAATGAAGTCATGTGTTCAGGGGTTCACAGTTTGGTTTCTATAAATCAGAGCTGCTCCATTCAAAGTTTTAGTCTTATTACTCATATGCTTTAATTTTCAGACACAGGAGATTCACTGGGTTAATGCGCCAGAATAAAATCCCTCTCCCACTTGAGCTGTTCCATTTAACCTTAGTATTTAATATGAAAATGCCGTCAGTTTATAATGCACATCATCTGGATGCACCAGGACGCCGTTATGATTTTTGGAATCACGTTTTTAATGTCGTAACATTAGACACTTTCTCAGGTGACCCATTCAGGGTTGCTAAAGCATCGTAATCATCTCAGCCTGTAAGAATCTGTAATGAACTAAACCACTTCATTTGCTTTTCTCCTCTTTCCCGCAGTCGTCCAGACACCTCCTTCTCGTGGTTTGTTAACCCTTTCAAATGTTTCTTTCACTTGGTGTGGCGAAGCTACAAGAAGTACATCATCATCGGCATCATTCTGCTGATCACAGCGCTGTTCCTTGCCCTGCTCTTCTACACACTACCCGGAGCCATCTCCAACAAGATTATCAGCGGCTAAACGGATAAACTATGTGTGTGTATGCTGCAGCTCTACAGCTTTTCCAAATGATCAAAGTCTCCATTTTTTGAATATTGAAGTTGTGTAGATGTTTGGTCTCACTTTTTAAAACAGTCATTTACATCAACAGGAATAAGAATGAAGGCTGGCCATTTGCTTTTAATTCGTTCTGTGTCTGAATAAATGTTTTCCAAATGTTACTAACCAGTGAAAGTTAACATATTAAGATTTTAAGATGATGAAAATGGAAAACAAAATCTGTTTAACCAGAATAAATAAATGTGAGTCAATAACACGTCTGGATTTCATACCTTCATTTATCAGGCACACGTCATTCAGCAAAGACAGAGTACAAACACATTATTACTTACAGTAATTACTTTACATGTCTTTGAAGTCCTACCATTAACTAAAGCTTCAATACTGTTGACCATGATATATTATTACAGTGATAAGAGCATGCTTTGGGAATTAAAATACTGTGCTGCAGTGGTTTGAATCATATCTAACAGACTCCAGTTTGTCCATATAAATAGGGAATCCTATACAGACTCCACAGGGTTCTGTACAAGGACCAATTCTGTTTAAGTTATATATGCTTAACCTAGGCCGTATCATTAGAAGACATATTTTCACTATGCAAATGATACTCAGCTTTATCTGTCCATGAAGACAGATAACACACAACAATTAGTTAAACTACAGGAATGTCTTAAAGTAATTAAACACGTGGATAACCTCCAATTTCCTGTTTCTAAATTCAGTTAAAACAAGGTTATTGTCCTCTGTCCTAAATAGGATGTTTAAAAGAAGAATGGGATCAGGCTTCAGCTTTCAGGCGCCTCTTCTGTGGAACCAGCTTCCAGTTTGGATTCAGGAGATGGACACCCTCTCTATTATTAAGATTAGGCTTCAGACTTTCAGTTTAGATAAAGCACGTATTTTGGGTTGATCAGGTGACCCTGAGTCCTCTTAGTTATGCTGCAATAGGCCTAAATGTTTCTTCTTCACTCACTTTTTGGCATTGATACGCCACTTTGCATTTAATCATTACTTATTAATCTCTGGCTCTCTTCCACAGCATGTCCTTTGTCCCGTCTTCCTCTTTTCTTCCCAAACTGGTCGCAGCAGATGGCTGCCCACCCTGAGCCTCATTTCCTCCTATTAGAGTGCTTGCTTAAAGGGATCATCCTACTGTTGATGTTACAGTATTTGCCTTACACTATAAACACTGTTGTGATTTGGCAGTCTTGTATCAGTTGGCATGATCCAGTCTAGCTGCACGTTCAGTATTGATATGTTAAAGGATACAGTGAAGGTTTGTACATATAAACACAGAGATTTGATGAAAATAACAATAGTCCTTGTGAAGGGTATGGCAAATGTTTATTGTGTATTTAACTGTGTGATGGATGTTAGTTTAAGGATTTGGGGCTTTCTGATACTGACAGTACCGGATTACAACATTTAAGACAAAATGATCCATAGTGGCCGCTGCAAACGCTGCAAACGCTGCAAACGCTGCAAACGCTGCAAACGCTGCAAACGCTGCAAACGCTGCAAACGCTGCAAACGCTGACCCGAAGCCTTGGTTTCTTTACGTGTCGAGTAAAGATAAATCTGAGTTCGGTGAATGGAGCAGTGTTAGCTCACTGTAAGATAGCGTCTGTCAGAGAGAGTCTCTGTGGAGAGATGTTGCCATGGGGGTAGGAAAGTGCCACAGCGTGCTCATGTGGAGCCATGTTGGGGCCTTTCAGAACCAGGGTGGAAGTGGATGTAGACATCCGTGTGATGTTATTTGATGCTGAGCTCTGTCTCTGCTGAGTGCTGGAGGTGGAAGCTGAAACACAACATAGAGCAGCTGATTGAAGTGACAAACGAAAAGTGTAGCACCACCTGCTGAGCCTCACTGAGCAGACAGTGAGCTTTACTGGACTTATATACGGCTGGTTTAGAAAGTTTTCTCTGTGAACATGACTTCTTTTACAGTTTCCATCTGGCAAAGTAAAAGGAAGGGTTGACCATCCAGGCTCCAGTGTGCAGTACATCTGGAAAGTATTTGGAGATTCAACAGTTCCCATTTAGTCATACTGCCTTATTCCAAAATGGAGAAAAATTCTCACAAGTCTATAAACGATACCTCATGATTACTGTAATTCCTGCAAATTTATTTAAAATAAAAAGGAAAAATATAACATGAACATTAAATATTCACAGTTTGGAACTTGAGCTCCAAAGTGTGTTTTTGAGGAGCAGCAGGCAGTTTGAAAAGATGTGTGAAAAGTCATCTGAGCCACAACTTACCACAAGCTGATCTGGGCTGCTGCTGACTGCTGATGGCAAAGCCAGTCTGAGAAAGACCTTGAGTGTCTCCAAAGGCCTGACAGGGAACAAAGCAGCAAAGGCGTGGCTGATTGGTAAGCAGCTTAATTATTCAACTTTAAACAGACAGAGAGAATGGGTGTGAATTTCAATTTGCCAAAGAAGGTTTCTAACAGATCTACAACTACAGGTCAATAACCAGCCAGACTGAGAGGCTCTCTGAGGGTTACAGTTACAGAAGGACAAAGAATAACAATTAACTGCATGTCTTTGGACTGTGGAATCGAACTCAGGACCTTCTTGCTGTGAGGCTAATCGCTGCCCCACTGAACTTCTAATGTGAATTACAAAGTGCCTGATTCTCCTTTTGCTTTCGACTGAGGAGAAACGTTGAAACTGGAGTTAACAGCAGAGGTGGAGGCCACTCCTGTTAGTGGCCTCCACCTATGTATATCTATGATATTTTCAATTCTGAAAATATCATAGATATACATATAAATAATAAAATAAACTATATCTCTATACATACATCTCTCTCTACCCACATACATACATGATGTAGAGAGAGATGTATGTATACATCTACATCTATAGCAGACAAAGATTTTAGTATCAGAATAATGTGATGGACAAGCGTCTGTGAGGCAGTGTGTGGACACAATCAAGAACAAATATATGCAGATCACACAGATGATCAAATCAAACAGCTGGCTACGTTTTCTCGGCACACCTGTTAAGGCATCCACAAACTGATAAAATGATGATAATCTCCAGGTCGTCAGATATGGACTTGAGTTTGTGTTGCTGAATGTCTCTGTGCCATCTTTGTTGTCCGTTGAAAAACAATGCAATGGAAACAGAAAACACTCCCTTTGAATCCAGGAATCCAAAGCAGGTTGTGTTTCCCACGGTACAGCCCTCACATTCTCACTTACACTACTTTATGTTAGCAGCTCCAGTATGACGGTGAAAGATGGATTATGCACAAAAAACAGAATTGGGCTGAAAGGTCTGTTGCTTTATTACGTCTTCAGGTTGTGTAACACATTCATAAAAGGCAAGTAATGAAACTAATTACTTTTGAAAATAAGTAATCAGTAAAGTACCGGGATTACTTTCTTGGAGAAGTAATCAGTAATTAGTAACTAATTACTTACTAACTTGAGCAACACTGGGTATCACAGACACTAACACTCATCACTGTCAGTGATCACGCAGCGGTGTGTCGCTGACACAGACAACAGTCACACGACCAACTCGAGATTTAATACCTGCCAGGAACGTCACCGTATGTTCGATGGCAGGGTCTCAAACTCCGGTCCTCGAGGGCCGCTGTCCTGAAACTTTTCCATGTGTCCTTGTTACAATTAGCATGTCATTAGCAAGACTCTATAGCACTTGGCTGCATGCTGAGGTGGCGACCCCTAACCCTACTCAAGTAAGTTTAAGTAAGTGTTTGGAAAAGCGTACTTCTAAAAGCACTTTTATTGTTCATTCACACATGAGCTGCTGTAACATGAATCAAATGGCTGAGCTGCCACCTCAGAGTCTTGCTAATGACCTGCTAATTGTATTCAGGTGTAGAAAGTTGCACGACACCGGAGCTCGAGGACCGGAGTCCGAGACCTCTGCTCTACACTGAATAGTTGTGAACAGTCCACACCCACTGAGGTAAACAATACTCTGGCAGCTACCAGAGAAATGCCTCCCAAAGCATTCAAGGTAACTTTGGGTAAAAATGAAAAATATTGTGAAATTTCTTTTTGATTGTCATATACACGTTTTAAATTCTTGATATTACTGAAATACGTCAAAAATAGTTTGCAAAAATGTTTTTATTCACTGACCACCAAATTCTCCATGTAAATGTTTTAATCAATTTCCACTTTAAGCCCTGAGAGATGGAGATCTCATTCATGAGAAAGAAACAGACCATTTCCAAAAGAAATGTCTGAGTGCAGAGACTGTGGTGGAATCACCGACCTGCATCTGGTTAAGGCAGGCCTGGAGTTTCCGTTTTGCCCTCCACCTGGCTACCCTCAGTCTGGTCTTCTCTCGACGCTCCCGCACCTTCAACACAAAATCACCTTTATTTTTCAGGTTCACTTGATGCCTTTATGAATGAGGCACTTTTTTAACGTAAATATGCAGAAACCTTCTGTCCTCAACAATTTGAGGTGGACTGACCAGATCTGCCAGCAGCGGTTGAGGTAACGATTTCTCCAGTTCTCTGCGCTTTGTCATGTTTCGGCGACGAAGCTCACTCCTCCGCATTTTGTATTCTTCATAAAGACTAAGGTCTTTAGCCCAGGGTCGCACGGCTTGGCGAGGTGGGACGCCAGGTGGCAAGATGGCAGCTGACTGAGGTGCTGAATCTGAGAGTGCACACACAGAAAGCGCCCACTCTAAGTTCTAAGTTGTGAGGCTATATTAAGCCACGTCACAGCGATAAACCTCCTTCATCACTTTGTTCTCGAGCTATAGCAACCAAAAACTCGAGTGTCAACATCACCTGGAAACCCAGCAGGGTGACGATACCATCCCGAAAGCCTTTTACAGCTGAGGGACAAAAGGTTTTAGGACAAGTCCCAGAACTTTTTTATCATATCTAGTAAAATTAGACTAGAAGCATACAGACATGATCGACAGTTATTCACATCAACTCACGGGTGCTTCGTCCAGCTGAGCTGAAGGCTGTAGTATTTCTTTGGCTTCCTGCAGCACTTGGGCACTCTGTCACTGACGGTTGAGGCTGAGCACAGAGATGAAAGCATTCATTCTATTCGATAGTCTGCAATAACAGGATTCCACGAGAGTTTTCCAAAACTGTCCTTCAGTCTGTTGTTGAGCTTACAACCATTTGTTCAGTCCAACGACATGCACGTGCAACTGGTAATGCTAAAATGGCCGTAGCTGTGGATATGTCATAAAGTAACAGTGGCACGTGCCTGAGTCAAAGTGT